TTTAATACATAATTAAACTTATACATTAAATTTAATACAATAAATCTTAAACCTATTCCGCAACTTGCTTTTGGTTTAACGATAATATACAATTAAACTTATATACTAAATAATAATCTTAGCAACCCAGATAACCAAGCGTGATTTAGAATATTAAACAAACTAATGTACTGCACAAGTTGTTATAAAGTTGCCGTCAATTTGCTGACGTCGAAATGTTATGTGCAAATTGAGTTAGCAATATGTGAGCAAATAAACATCATCAGTTTATGAAACTTCAAGAGCAAACGTTATGGATTAACAACGCATCATATTGATAGCAAAATGGTAGCACACGATGAGATCGCATTTTATATGCGATATCGTGCCAGCAACACAATGACAAACTGATGGCATGTATGATATCTAATGTTTTATACGTGTTGCAGTATATCATTAAAATTTCTAAATTAAATCTTATTGTCGACAACTTATGTCATAATCTTTATTTTTATGACAATAATGTATTAATGATACATGTTTTATACATTAATATAACAAGTTTTTTTTATAAATTTTACATAATATTTTATGTAATATTATAAAAATGTTTATTTTCAAATAGTTATATATTTTTTATAATTTTTTTTATTCTAAATATTCTTAAAATATTAATTTTATTAAATTATTTAATAATATTTATTATTTTTTTCATTCTCAGTATTCTTAAAATATTAATTTCTTAAATCTAATTTGTTCCTTCTTTTGAAATACATATAATAATACGGAATAAATATAAATAATGACAATTATTTTAATATTTTTTTTACTAATTTTTGTAAAATAAATTTTTTTTTATTTTCATACTTTTTTTAATACCAGTAATTGTATTCTTCTTAAACATATAAAATACATAAAGATAAAGAATATACAAAAAACTGTTATTGAGCATATATTAAATTATTACATGTTCTTTAACATTATAATATATATAATGTTAAAGAACATATAATATTTTATATTTTATAATTATTTGCACAATTAAATAATTAAAGGACAATTTCAATGAAAACAAATTTTTAAAATAATAAACAGTAATAAACAAAATTAATAAATAAATATAATAAAAATAGTAAACAATAATAGTTAACAATATATAATATTTTTTGTCGCCGACTGAACATTAATTTATAATTTGTCATGGTCGCGCGTCTTCCGTCAGTCACTCAGATTTATAACGTATTTCATTGGCTGACTTAATCTTGCTACTTACCGTTCAGTAAGCGGTGGCGCTTTATAGTGTCCATGATTTACTATGTTCGGGCTCTATTGGCGGGAATAGCTTGCTTAGCGGATATCAGTGAAAAGATCGAAATTGTGAAGGTGAAGAAGATTGAATTTTGATGAAGTTTTTTCGTAGAGAGATTCATAACATCCTAAGAGGTATGTAAAGATAATTACTTATGTTGAATAACAGAAGGACGTGTCAAAAATATTTCATGTGTACAAAATAGGTTAATTTACCGCATGTACCGATGTACGTTTCATTGTGAATAATACAAGCAATTAATAAAGTGAACACGATTATACATACGCATAGCATGAATTAAGCCAATTAGCATGCATACGACAAAGTAAATTCATACTATATTTCATTTAAAATCAAAGTAAAAGTGAATATGCAATCAAATTTATTACTTTGTCGCATACATGCTGAGGCTACATGCATGCGTGTGCGTGCGTGCGTGCGTGTGTAATAATAGTTATTATGTTTTATGATATCGCCTGAAATTTCGTAATTTTTTAGCGCATGATTTTGATCCCTTTTGAGTAATATTACCAATATTGTAATAATCACTCTTTATACAGTTATGTACTTTATTTAGTCTAATAATTTTTTTCTAATTTCAGGCCATTCATCTGTTATCCTGCGTTAATAGTCTTTGATAATAAGAGTGATTAGAAGACTTTATATACTTATTTTACAATTTGGTGTACAACTGACGGAGCTGCGGAGAATAATTCTTGAAAACGGGTATTCATTTAATATGGATCATTTCTTAAATTGAATGTTTAATCTTACTATGTATGGCATGTTCCTCTTTCAGCCATTATTAAAAATAATTTAATACACATTATTTTGATATACATTAAACTATTACGCATTTAATGTTTTTTTTGTGGAGAAAATATCATTTCTTAATTTTAACTTATTTAATTTCTTTACTTTCGATTTCAACTTTTAACTGTTATTTGTTTAGTAATAAATTGTATGTGTTTAGCTCACTTTATCATTTTACATAGAATTCAAGTAAAAAGCGATATGAATTCTTTCAAAATTGGCAAAAATTTGAAAAATTGTAAAAGACGCAAACCGATTTTTAAGTTAACATTACGCCAACGCAACCGTTTCTTTCAAGAACTGCGGCAAAGCAATGATTCGTATGTAAATGTGCGGACGGCGAATTCAGTAGCGAAGACTGCATATGATCTTTGTAATATTGATATTGTACCACTGTCGCCTGAAAGTTGCCACGATTTAACAATGTCTGCTGTTGATGAACCTCTTACTCATAATTCTTCTTTGGAAACAGTAGTGGATGATATTAATAATGCAAATATAATCCATCCCAATAGTATTAGTTCTGTTTCTGCAAGTGATTGCAATGTTAAAGAAATGATTGATCCTACACATACATTTCGAGAATCCTTAGCATCAGCTTTTATAAAGGGGAATCTTACACATATACAAGGAAACATTATTTTAAAAACATTGCGATCTCTTCCACTACTCGCTCATCTTCCACGTGATACGCGAACTTTATTAAATACTCCTCGAGTTAGTCCTCAGATACGCAAAGTAAATCCAGGAGAGTATTTCCATGTTGGTTTTGAAAAAGCTCTTACTCGTATTTTGCAGACAACTGTACCAAACTTGATTCCAAACGTTCTCGAGATTGATTTTAGCACTGATGGTGCCAGATTAAATAATTCTGGTACTATGCAGATTTGGCCGATTCAGTGTTCGATCGCAAACATTTCGGGCAGCAATCCTGAAATTGTAGGAATTTATAAAGGGCCAAAAAAACCTGCCAGTATTTATGATTTTCTCGACGAATTTATTGCAGATTTTCTTCAAATTATTAATAATGGGGGTATTTTCTTCTTTAAAAAACGTATTCCAATTGTATTGAGAGCTTTTATTGCAGATGCACCTGCACGCTCATGGATATTAAATCACTTCGGCCATAATTCTAGTAATCCTTGTCATAAATGTAAAGTCGTCGGTGTCTCTTGCAATGGTCAAATGGTCTTTATTGGCATAAAACATCGTCTTCGAACCGATGACGAATATGTACAATTGCTAGACGATGATCATCACAAGGGACCAAGTCCACTATCTCGTTTACCGATTGGATTAGTTTCACAGGTGCCCGTAGAGTACATGCACTTAATTTGTATTGGTGTTGTAAAGAAATTGTTAACTTCATGGATTACTAGTAAGTATGGTAAAAAAATGAAATTATCCGGTCGAAACCAAAATCGAATTTCAAAAAGACTCGAACGTATTGCACTATATTGCCCGAGAGAATTTTCAAGAAAGCCAAGATCATTGGCTGACTATAAAGATTATAAGGCAACGGAAGGTCGTCAATTTGCCTTGTACACAGGATCTGTTGCTTTACAGGGCATTATGGACGAACAAGGTTACAAGCATTTTTTGCTTTTTCACGCCGCTCTACGTGCACTATGTCACTCCAAAATTTTACCAGCTCAGATGACTTTTGCAAAACTTGCATTAGAAAAATTTGTTGAGACATGTCCTTGCTTTTATGACATGACTTTTCTCTCCTATAATGTTCATGCATTACTGCACTTATCAAAAGATGTTGAACGTCTAGGTCCTCTTGATTCTTTCTCGGCGTTTCCATACGAAAATAAAATTATGTTTTTTAAAAAGTATTATAGGAAGCCTCATCTTGCTTTGCAGCAGTTTGCTTTCAGAGAAGCTGAAAGGCAGAAAAGAGAGGAACTAAAACCTCCAAATGCTGTTGATGCTATAAAAGTCTTTGAGAGACATGATAGCGGTCCATTTTCTATACAATTGTCCTCTTGCTGTGTACAATATAAGAAGCTACAAACGAAGAACTTCTTTCTAAGTGTTGATTCCTTAGGCGACAATTGCATTATTTTGATTAATTCTTCAATCTGCATTGTTCGTAATATTATTCAAATGGATAATACTTATTATTTAGTCATCAACAAATTCCAAATCATGGAAGATTTTTATGATGTCGCTATTCCATCGTCCAGACTTGGAGTTTTTGTGTGTTCTGTTTTATCTGATGATTGTATCGTTGTAGATTTGAGTGAAATTAAAGGAAAATGTTATTTAATGCCGTACTGGACAGTCGAAAACGATAACGATTCTGATGTTACTATCAGTGAAGAAGATGAGTCCATTCCTGGTAAATTCGTCGTTTCAACACTTCTGTAGAATATTTGGTGAGATTATCTGACAAGTAGATTACATTCGATGAGGTTTTATTAGATTCAGTTTGGTTGCTTACATTCGATTCGGTTAGGATATTGGTCAAAATTGATAAAAGTTAATTTCGATTTCGGTAATTGATTGTTTCGATTTGTTTCAGGTGATTTTGTTATACTCAATTTAATTTTGTTGGGATTGTTTGGGATTGATTCCATTTGATTCGTTTTTGTTATAATTTAGTTTGGTTACATTAGGATCTCTGAAGTACAATGTCAAGTTCTGTGGAGAACTGTGCAGAATGTGGAAGAGTTCAGTTTTTAATCGATAATCCGACATATTGAAAAGAACGGCTCCTAAGTGCTTATGCAAATTTTTCTGTCCTAAAAATAAAAAAACTGCTTTTTATCGTTATTTTTGGATTAAAGTAGTTTAGTGAGATTGACCCAAAATAACCACTTCAGTTCTACGTACTATTGTTATTCGATTTAAAGTAAATGAATTTGAAGTCAAGATAAAAATATATATGATATGAACATGAGGGTTTTGGTCATATAAAAAATTAAAATGGTATGTAGCAAACAAAAATTCTTTTTAATATTTCCTCAGCGTCATTTTATAATACTATATATATCATTATATCATTATGATATGTTTTCTCGCGTATTTCTTTTCATGGTATGTAATGTGATGTAACATATGCAATACAATTAAAGATTGTTATTTTAAAATAACACTATAATTAATTTTAAAAATACTTATGTCTAGAATGGATACTAGATTCAAAAGAAAGAAACAAGCGCCTATGGTAAAACGGATCAATCGCGTCCAAATTAACCGAATCAAAACAGGACAGTCAAATCGGTAATTATATATGTTCTCATTTTGTATACAGGATGGAGGTCCTAAAATCTAATAGTAAACCATGTTATATATAAAGATTGTTGATAATTCAATTACTACTAAAAGTCTCTCGCTATTGAATACATTACAAGGTTATTCTACAGACGATTTCTGGACATCCACTTTGTGTAATATTTCATATATATAAACATTTTTAAATAAAACATGATTGCAGCTGAATCTTATAGAAAAATTATTTTAATATCTGTTAATGCACAATAAAAAAACAACATTACATTTTATATAAATATTTAATCCCGTAATCATTACTGTATCGTATTCTTTTGTTTGCGCTGATAAATAAAAAAAATTGTATTCTTGACAAAAATATTTATAAGTTTTCTTTTTGTTCATGTAACGTCATCACAGAAACACTCTATACTCCACGATGTAATTCTTCACACGTTAAAACACAGTACAGAGCAAATTTTTAATTAGAATTTTTAAATTTATACAGGGATGTATCATATGTCAATCAAATCTGTGATTACACACACGTGTATGTATATATATGATGTCTCAAGGACTAAGTTTAACTTGGTTGTTGTTAATTGTATTATTAATAAATAGAGCTTTTTCTAGAATAGACTGTAGGAGTGATTGGTCTTCAGCCAATTTTGCAATTTTAAAAAGTATTTAAGAGTTTTCCATATTATGTGTATACTTTTTCTTGCTACTTGTGTACGTTGAATTAACTCCGAGAAAGATTGACGTAAAGAACAATGTCTCACATAAAAATTAGCATTATTTCACTTCCTTAATGACGCGCGCGCGCATGTGTGTGTGTGTGTGTGTGTGTGTGTGTGTGTGTGTGTGTGTGTGTGTGTGTGTGTGTGTGTGTGTGTGTGTGTGTGTGTGTGTGTGTGTGTGTGTCGTGTGTGTGTGTGTGTCGTGTGTGTGTGTGTGTGTGTGTGTGTGTGTGTGTGTGTGTGTGTGTGTGTGTGTGTGTGTGTGTGTGTGTGTGTGTGTGTGTGTGTGTGTGTGTGTGTGTGTGTGTGTGTGTGTGCGCGCGCGTCATTGCACTTATTAATTGAGTCAAAAACATTTATGGCATAGAACATATCATAACACGATGATATTAAAAAGCATGGTGTTTTGCATGTATATATGTTTGGGTTTTTGCAATTAAATACATATAAGTATTGAATCGAAACAAAAGTTCATTAGAAGAAAATTTTTTTATTATTTTAATAAACGCATGGCATGGAAGCTTACTGCAGAAATAAAATAATAATAAATTAATTGTGCTTTCTAGATCAAGACATCTTTCACGTATCATTGTGAAGCCCAAAAGATATGCGACATCATCATCAGAGAACGAATCCTTACGAAAGCGTAAAAATGCCGTTAATATGCACAAGAAAATTATTTCTACAAATATAGAGAAAGAAATTACAGCTATAAGAAAAACGTTGGAGAATGTTTCTCCTAACATAAATGGCGTTGATACTAATAAAAAAACGCTCAACAATCCTGAATACCAGATTGCGTCTTTGCCTATGCAGCATACTGAAGCTTCTGTGGAAAATAATTTGCTAGTTAATGCTTCTCAGACACATTTAGAGGAGACTTCTAGTACACAGTCGTATTGTTCGCTAATTGGATGTGCCAGTGATCAGCAAGTAGAAATACGTGACTCACAACCGTACAATCCACAAAGTACTTGTAGAACAGAAGGTTCAGGACAATACAGCCCATACATTATACGCAGCTTGCACCTAATAATACATCGGCTGTTTCTGAAGTATCAAGAAGTGCTGTAAATAATGTTGCACTGCCTACTGGATATTCCAGCTGTAATAAGATGGATTATTCCAACGAAATGGAACAATGTTATGACAATCCTGCTCGAGTATCGAGAATGTTTGAATCTTTCACTGTAAGGCCTCCTGTATCGATTCCGCACACTATAACGTCCCAGTATATGAGCTTTTCAGATAATTCAGAACATAGAAATTCAATGATACCATGCGATTCATCGGCTAGAATGAACGTACAAGAAAGAACTGAATGGTCTACACCAAATAATAATGTTACTTTACCCGAACGAAATGAAATAAACTTGGGAAATGTAAACAAATTTCACGACAATCACGAAGAAATGCGGTTTGTATTCACCATTATGGGATCGCACTGGATGAGGGTATGAAAAGAAGTGCCTGAAGGAATTTTTGTCATTTCAGTTTTTGGACATTGAAAGTTTATAACGTAAATTTTATTTACAAAAAAATTAATAAAATAAATGCAGGTATTTAAAAAGTAAATGCAAAAATAAGTTATTTAAAATACTTTAATGAAAATATAAAAAAATTATTGATTGGTTGTTATAATATTGTTCTTTTTGTACCGTCAGCTACATCAATATAATTTATAAAAATATTACAAATTAATATAATAATTAATTCAGACGCCTACGAGAAAAGGTCGATAACCTGAATGCGAAAATGGATAATATGATGACAAAAGAACATTTTGAGTAAGTAACATAGTTTTTATAAATACGTACATCGTATAAAAATGTGTATTAACTTGAAAAACATCAAATATCCTTGAATCTAAGCAGCCTTAATTGTTAATTTCACTGCACAGTGGGATAAAATCTAAAAAAATTGGACAGAATGTTGAATTCTATATTAATGCTTTAAAAGTAAGCAAATGAGATGTATTCCTTTTGACGTACGTTCATATAATTGCTAAAATATTTCTGCTTAAAAAATGAATTTAACGTAAATAATAGCGATTAATTTGTTGAATTTGTTTAATGTAAAATTTGAGACAGAAATTATAGTTATTTATACATTTGTAACATATTTTTTTTACACTTTTCATAACATTTAATACGTAAAAAGTTATGGAATTAAATACAAAACAAATATTAGTTAATATTTAATTAACTAACTAATTAATATTATTGCATTCATATTTTTTAGTTTAGATGTGTTTCACATTAACTATATATTGATCTATTTCAAAACATTCTATCTCAGAAATACAGTTAGAAAAACGCTATCTCAGAAGAAACTAAAATCTGTCATTAAAAATTTCTTTATACATTGTATAATTCTACAATAATTATACTACTAAAAAAATGTGTGTAAATATTAAATTATTTCAGATCTATACAGAATAAATATTATGTATTGTGTAAACATTATATTGTATTTAAATTAATTTTATATAATTTTCAAATAATTTAGATTAAAAAAACGTTTTTTGACAACAAATTTTAATATCTTTCTGAGATAGAATTTTTTTATCTGCTTTTTTCAGATAACGTTTTCTATGTAATGGATTTTTTAAGATAATGTTTTTAAAATTTGGATATCAATAGGGAAAAAGCATAACTGTATGCACACATGGAAAGAAATAACGTTTTTATTTTCTTATTTTTAAAGTAATTTTTAAAACAGATATCAGATTTTTGGCCACGTGTATGTGATTCTATCGCTCTGTGTATTGGTGAGAAGTATTTTAATTAAATATGCACAATACATTTACAAAAAAATTAAAAAACGCATACAAATGTATGTACAAGACAGTTTACGCTAATTCGAAT